GGGGCAGATGGCTGGGCACTATAAAAGGGGGCAGATGGCTGGGCACTTTAAAAGGGGGCACATGGCTGGGCACTATAAAAGTTTAAAAAAAGGTAATGCCTTGTGTTTTCCATATGTTTAATAAACAGTGTTTGGCAATATTTGTATGTTTAAAAAAAAATTAATGTTTGTTACCAAAAAACATTTTTCAATACATTGTACAATAATTGTACATTTGAATATCTACTTGTCATTATTCTGACTATGTTTCTGCTTTCAGAGCTAGTTATTACTTACATTATTACAAAAAACAGTAATAATTGAATGCAGTGACATTAATTTATGATAATAAAGAGTGGACACATAGACCTACAGATACAACCGGCCCTTTGATGGGGACCAAACTGCTGATGCGGCCCCCGATGAATTTGAGTTTGACACCCCTGCTCTAGGGCCTTAGAGGCTAACCTTTTCATAGTATTCCTTTTCCTTGTATAGTCTATTATCAAGCCTCTAACATATGCCTTCATTGTATCCCACACATTCTGAATTGATGTATCTTCTTTTTTGTTTTCTCTAAAGAAAAAAGCCAATTCTTTCTCCATCCACTGTGTGAAGTCTTTTTCCTTTAAAATAGTATTATTTAACGTCCATCTAGATCTTCTTTTTTGTCCTTTCCATTTAATTGTCATTGGATTGTGATCTGCCCAAGTACTTGTTTCAATGTTTATTTCTTGAATGTTAGATATTAATTCTGTTGACATCCATATCATATCTATTCTGGACCATGATAAGTGTCTATTTGAATAGAATGTGTATTGTTTAGTTTTAGCATTTCTTTCTCTTCATGTATCTTTTAAGTTTATTTCATCTACCATTTTAAAAAAAGATTTAGGGGGAGTCTTTCTGTTTTGCTTTATTGTTTTCTGTGCTGTATAGTCCAATTTATTGTCTACAATTCCATTAAAATCTCCCATCATAACTATATTAGAATAGTCCAGTTCAATTATTTTCATATGTAATTTTTTGTAGAATTCTTCTTGTTTGTCATTTGGAGCATAAATTGCAATCAGGAGTGTTTTCATATTATTGTCCATTATTTCCACCATTAGTATTCTTCCATCATCATTGGTATAGATCAACTTTGCTGGGGTGGTCTCTTTAATATATAAAACCACTCCTCTTTTCTTACATTGGGTCAAGGAAGTAAATATTTTCCCTAATTTTCTCTGTACCAACAATTGTTCATATTGTTTTTTTAATATGTACTTCTTGTAGACAAATTATATCAAATTATAATTTCTCTAATTTATGAAAAGTTTTCCTTCTTTTAACGGCTGATTTAAGTCCATTTATATTAATTGTAATC